GTGCTGTACCTCTGAGCCACAACCCCAGCTCCTAATTTACTTTTTGTAAATAAATATTGGTCTTATGATTAATCCCTTATGGACTGGGTTTGTGGTTCAGTGGTATAGCACTTGCCTAGCATATATGAGGCAAGGGTTCAATTCTCAGCACCACATATAAATAAATGAATAAAATAAAGGTCTATCAACAACTAATACACACACACACACATATATATAAATTTTTAAAAGAAGATTAATCCCTTAATAGTTGCTGTGCATTCTGATAGATGTTGGATAGAGGATGAAATATATATAAGAAATCATTTTTCATTTTGCTTTACTTAATATATTAAAACTTTTTTTTCTTTTTTCTTTTAGGAAGCTATCATACAAATAATGAAAATGAGAAAGAAAATTAGTAATGCCCAACTTCAGACTGAATTAGTAGAAATTTTGAAAAACATGTTCTTGCCACAAAAGAAAATGATAAAAGAGCAAATAGAATGGCTTATAGAGCACAAATACATCAGAAGAGATGAATCCGATATCAACACTTTCATATATATGGCATAATTTTGAATATCATGGACATTATTAAGAACCCAGATTTTGGAGTGCTTGGGCAGAAAGTTACAAGTTTGAGCTGGAGAAAGGTTTTTTTGGACTTTGATTACATAAATATGAAAATCTCTGCCTTACCTTACAAAGTGACTCTATTTTGCCACTCACATTAGTTAGCATGATGGCATTCCCTTCATGTTGCGCACTCTGTAACAGCATGCTGTTTTGTGGAGAAACTTGCATTCATGAAGAGCCCATTATGAACTTTTAAAAGTAAATTTGATTTTTATCCACCAGAAGAAATACAGTTGGGAAGGGAGAGGGCGGGGTTCTTGTTGCTTTTTCCTCTCTTAAAAAAATGTACTTGCACAAGGAAGGATATTCAGATATTCATGCACTGAAAAATGCTGTTATCTTTTGTTTTTTAAAAAATGCAATTAAAACTAGAAGTAGCACTCTTGGCCTCTTTTGATGAGAGTGAGCTGGTCAATACAACATTGGGAGAGGGCAGATGTAGGTGAGAAGATAAGTATTTCATAGTATCCAATTATTAGTTCAAACACTGCTTCGGTATGATAACTGGATTTTAATGGTGACCTAAAAAATGATATTAAATATTTCCAACTTACAAATGTTGGTGTTCTTTAAGCAGAAGACTGCTGTTTTAGTTGTTTGTTAAATGATAAGGAATTTTGGAAAATCTTTTATGGCTGGAGAGTTTGTTTTGAAAAAAAATGAAGCTTATATTAATTGTTGCTTCAGTTGTACAAAAGAAATTTATGGAGAGAAGTAGGTCATTATGACTACAGGGTCAGTACAGCAAAACAAACATTAAGTGTGTCTGTCATTAACACACTTAATATTTATATACCTAGTATTTATTATGCCATATCTAAATTTATTGAACACAATGCAGAAATCTCCTGCTGTGATATAATACAGTTATGGAACGGATCTCTCAATCTGTAGCATAGAACTATTTTGGTATCTTAAAGTCTCATGATTAGGGATTTTTACAGCCTCAGGTTTCTGGAAAGAAAGACTTCTCTTTTAAAAAGTAATATCAGTCATCTAGGAGAAGAAAAAAAAAACATAAGACCTGAAAAGCATAAGCAAAGTTATTCCAGTCTTAATATGAGCAGTATACTTGCCAAATATGTACATATATATTTATATATTTTAAAAATAAACATTTTTAAAATGTTCAGAAGGCAACACTTACCTTTTTACTTTCAGTCAATCCAAAGCAGCAACTTATTAGTTGCTGGCAACTGAATACCCAGAGCAGTGCAAATTTTATGACTTGAGGACTGAACAACTGAGAAGAACAAAACTATTTCCATTGGGGAAAAAATGGCTCAACATGGATTTTTATTCATTGTGGTGCACGTTTCGAATTTTCTTACAAATTATTTTATATCTTTTTGATGTTCAGTAATATTTAAAAGTATGGTTTTGAAAATGGTAGGAAAAGGAGTGCTGAAAGGCATCCAGTATTATATTATAGCAGAGTGCTTTTAAGAGCATTTCATGGAATCTTCCCTATCCCAAGAAGCTTTATGAGCTCCCCAATGAAAAGAAGGAAAGTCAGTTTAAAACATTTATGGGTTTGCTGATTATACTCAAATGCCTGTTCTGAAACTCATAGGAAATTTGAATTTTGTTTAGAATTTAAAATATACTTCAGCTCTAAGATAGCATATGTCAATCATTAAACCAAGATATTGTGAAGAATTAAATTGAAAATTAGTGTTCATTGTTTTCTCTAATTAGATGACTAACAGTGGATGAATTTGAAATTTAGAAGAAATAATTTTTTAATAACTGTGACCCTTAGGTTTAACAAATATTTTGGTATTGCAGATTTGCTTGTCCCAATAGAAGAATAACAAAAGAAGAAACTATGGGAGAAAAATTTTAGGCCATTTTTT